CATAAAAGAATTCTTAAAAGCATTTTTCTGGGTGTCCTAAGCACATGTTTCAACTGTTAAGTAATTCAGTACTGACCATTACTGTTACATATTAATTCCTGGAAAAGGTGTATACAAGTTATAATTGTAAAAGTAAGTTTGGGACAAGCAATGACAGAGGCAAGTGATCAGGAAGAAGACAGAGCACACAAGTCAGGGAGGGGCTCTGTGTTTGCAATTTACAAAAATCTACCTACAATGGGTGGGATCAACTGTCTACAGGAAATTTTTCCAAAAGACTACAGCCTATAGTTTAACTGTGGATAAGTTACTGATGACATTTAAGTACTCATAGAGGTCTCCAGGAAGCAGCCAACCTCAAACTTATCAATCTATAAACCTGGGAAATGCAAACATTAAGACAGTCTGATAAAAAACAGAAGGGAGGGGAGGTATTATAAGGTCTGCAGCCAAAAGAAGGAAAGCAATTCTTGGAGAATTTATAAAAAAGGGGACGTTGACAGTAAGAATTTTTTATTGTGTCCAGGATTACCCAAGAAAGAGGAGCCTCAGCTTTGGGGCATGGATAATTTATTTGGATTAATTGTGCCCTATTTTGAAAGGGCCCAGCTGATCCTGCTGCTGTAGTTTAATAATAATATTCCATTAAGATCATCAGACTCTCTTTGCCCAGATTCTATGCCCACCAATTTATTAACTGACTTCTTAGTACTCTGATATTGGGGATGGGGCCCCTCACACAGACACAAGGCTCCATTCAGTGTGGCATGTATAATAGTTTAGATAATACATAAATTGTCATCTAGATTATAAATCATTTTCTTATGAATCACAGGATCTCAACATTGGAGGATACTTCAAAGACATTTAATTAACCATCCATCTGGTGCTGAAATTTCCCTCCTATAACATAGCTGGGGAGGAGTCATTCATTTTTCCTTAAGCATCTCAAATAACAGAAAACTTGTTACCTCTTCAGTTCTCTGAACACCTGTGTTAGAAAATTCTGCTTTATATTGAACAAAAATGCATTACTACTTTAGAGCCCTCAGTCTAAGGTTGACCTCTTGGGACCATATACAAAACAAACTAAACCTCAAAAACAAAAAATAAAAAACAACCCAACACCCAAACGTAGATAAGCTCATGTTCTGGACAAACCTCTTTTTCATGGCCAAATTCCCTAAATCCTTTAATACCTCCTAATATAAGGTGGTTTCAAATCATTACATCATCCTGGTTACCCTCCCAAGGACAGGCTTTCATTTCTCTTTTAAGGTGTGGCCATGGGCGTGGTCGAGTGTTTTTGTAAAATTTGCAAAAGTAAGATATTTTTATCACACATGGTTGAGATGATGGCCTCTTTCTTCTCCTCCTTCCCCTCTGTCATACTTCCCCTCATGTCAAGCCACACTGGAGTGGCCATGAGCATTTCTGGATAGAGCTAAGGGGAAGTTGTGTTGGTGGTATATTTAGTTTGAGTTTAGGAGAATATATATCATGTGGTTCACTGATACTTTCATATATAGTTAACTGATTGCTAGCTGTCATAGTGTAGGAATGGCTTCCAGGAATACCCTTACCACCCACTGTGCTAATTTCAGGGAGCATTGTGACACTAAGTTGCAAGTGTGTTAGAAAGCTAATGAAAGTGTTATATTTATGAACTTTGTGATATTGAAGAGATTTATCAGCTTTTTAAATACAAAATGTGCTATGCATTGAATTATACCCTTACAACGAGGAAATTTTATGGTATGTAAAGTATACCTCAATAAAGCTGTTAAAAACGTGCTATGATTTCTTTTCTTATTTTAAATATTCACTTTTGTAATGTTGGGGCACCTGGGTGGCTCAGTTGGTTAAGCGTCTACCTTTGGCACAGGTCATGATCCCAGGGTCCTGGGACTGAGTCCCACATCAGGCTCCCTGCTCAGCAGGGAGTCTGCTTCTCCCTCTGCCTCTCCCCACTGGTTGTGTTCTTGCTTACTCTCTTTCTCAAATAAATAAAATCTTAAAAATAGGGTGAAATGTTGAAAGAATCCCCTTTGAGACTGGGAATTAGATAAGGAGATCGCTACTATTATCTTTGCTCAACACTGTATTGGAAGTTCTAGTGAGTGCAGCAAGCCAAAAAAAAAAAAAAGAAAGAAAAAAGAACTAAAAGATATAAGAATCAGGAAGGTAGACATAAAACTGTAATAACTGTAATAATACCAAAAGTATGACTTAGTTTATAAAAATCCAAAACATTAAATACAAAATTATTATTAGAATTAATAAATAAGTTTCACAACCTTGCTGGATATAAAAATCAATATGTAAAGATAAGTTGCCCTTTTATGTAATAGCCACAATTAAAAATTAAAAAGGTATAATTTACAATCCTATAAAAAATATAAAGTACTGAGCAACAAATGTAACAAAGGAGGTGCAAGGGGAAGTTGAATCCAAAACTTACATAAAAGTTCAAAAGGTCAAGAATAGCCAAAACATTCTTAAAGAACAAGGTGGGGAAACTTGTCCTATCATATGTCAAGATTTATTATAAAACCATAGGAATTAGGGCACCTGGGTGGCTCAGTCGTTAAGCGTCTGCCTTCGGCTCAGGTCATGATCCCAGGGTCCTGGGATGGAGCCCCGCATCGGGCTCCCTGCTCAGGGGGGAACCTACTTCTCCCTCTCCCACTCCCCCTGCTTGTGTTCCCTCTCTCGCTGTCTCTCTCTGTCAAATAAATAAAATCTTAAAAAAAAAAAACCCATAGGAATTAAGGCTGTGGCATGGGGTGAGCTGAATAGAGTTCAAGAATAAACCCACCTGTATATAGAACTGACACTTTAGATCAATGAAGAAAGTGTACTTTTCAAAAATGGTGCTGGTTTTAGTTTTCCATACGGAAAAATAGTAAATTGGGCCCCTACCTCACACCATACTTAAAAACATTAACTCCAGATAAGAGTCAATGTGAGAGTCAAATGTGAGAGGCAAAAATATAAAACTTAAAAGAAAATGTAAAAGAATATCTTGACCTCTGGGTATTAAAGGATTTCTAAAAGAAGGCACAAAAAAATGTATAAATTACAAAAGAAAAAACTCATAAATCAGAATACATGAAAATTAAGAACTTTATTTATCAGGAAACACTGTTGAGAGGATGATAACAAGCCATAAATGTAACCAATCAAGGATTAATATCAGATTCTAAAGAGAACTCAACTCTATAAACATAGAAAAATAAAACAATAGAAATATACGTCAAAAACTAAAAGTCACTTCTCAAAAGAGAAAATTCAAATGGTCAATGGTTGAGTTAAAAGATGCTCAACCTCTGGTGCCTGGTGGCTCAGTGAGTTAAGCATCTGCCTTCAGCTTAGGTCATGATCCCAGGGTTCTGGAATTGAGCCCCGCATCGGGTTCCTTGCTCAGCGGGGAGCCTGCTTCTCCCTCTACCTGCAGCTCCCCCTGCTTGTGCCCTCTCTCGCACTCTCTGTAAAATAAATAAATAAATAAAATATTAAGAAAAAAGATGCTCAACCTCATTAGTAATCAGGGAAATGAAAAAATCACAACAAAGTATTTTATACTCACTGGAGTCATAAAAATAAAAAAGTCTAATAAAAAATACCAAGTGTTGGTAAGCATGTGGAGGAAGTGGAATGTTTATCCATGGCTCATTGGATTATACATTTATGTGAGCACTTCAGAAAAAGGTTTGGCATTATGTAGTAAAGTTGAACATGTGCAAATCCCAGGACCCAGGAGTTTTACTCCAGGGTATATACTCTAGAGTAACTGTAGCATATATACATCATTTTATCAACATTATTCTGTCATCATCCAACACAATATTGAGTGAAAGAAGCAAATCCCAGGAGCATATATACATACAAACAACTAAGTTCCATTTATTAAAAAGTTCAAAAACAGGAAAAATGACATGATACAGTATATTGTTTAGGGATGCATACAGTTAGTAAACCAATGAAGAAAAACAAGGCAATAATTACCCCAAATTTTAAGGTAGTGGTTACATCTGATGGGGAAAGGAGAGAGGAATAAAGGAGTGTTGTAGTCAGGGAGGGACATACAGAGGGTTTTAAGATGCTGGAAATAAATATTCTATTTTTTTTAACCTGGGTAGTGAGTACATAAATAATCATTCCTTAAAATTATTCTTTTACATACATATATATGTTTTATGCATGCTTTTGTGTTTGATATATTTCACCATTTTAGAAAAGGAAAAAAAAAATCAGTGCCCAGAACTGAACACACAACTCCAGCTAATCCATACTAGAAAACCATCACCTCTCTCATTTTGAGTATTCTTGTCTCTGTTTTTTTAAAAGATTTATTTATCTATTTTGAGAGAGAGAACGCTCATGGGTGCACACGCACAGGGGGAGGGGCAGAGGGAGAGAGAATCCTCAAGTAGACACCCCGCTGAGTGTGGAGCCTGAGGCAGGCTTGATCCCAGGACCCCGAGATCACGACCTGAGCCGAAATCAAGAGTTGGACGCTTAACTGACTGAGCTACCCAGGTGCCGCCCTGTCTCTTTTTTGAACTGAGGTGTAACTTTATATCTCCTAAATTTTCTCTTATTTATTTAGCCATTTTTTCCCCTTGTCCTCCCAGCCAGTCAAGCTCTCCTCAGAGCCAGATCATCCTCCAGGAGAACATATAGAGCGACATTTCTGAGTTAGCCAGGCTGAGGTCCAAGTTGCAGTGGGCAGCTGCGGCAGCTCTTCCGAAAGCCCACCTGCAAGCTTAATGCGCTTGCTTCCTGCCCTGCTTCTCCTGAGGTCATCTGTTTATAACCCTAGCCTTTAGTGAGCAACCTTAGCAAATGTCTTATCAAGGCAAGCAATGCCTCACATTAGGCCATGTTGATAAGATGATGAGAATATTCTCACTCAGGAAGATTGCTATTTCCTGAAGAGATAAAACCCCACCAGGGAAAACCCCTGTGGTTGCCATAGGTAGGGCTGGTCTCCTCAAGCTGATAACACAGTTCCGACCAGAGGAGGAAGGCTGAACGCACTTACTTCATTTCTTGAAGCTTTCTGGGTAATTGTGCATCTTTCATATCTTAAAGACTCACATACTCTGAGCTAGACAGAGGTCCCAACCCTGAAGAACCTCTCCAGAATCCAGGTTGCTGAATCTTCCCTGCTGCCTAGAGACTCCAAACCACATTTTGGCAATGGGCAACTGGGTGGTTAACCACTGGTTCTCAGTTTTGTTTCTGGTAAGTAATGTTTCACTTATCTATTAATTACTCCTAACAGAGTAAGGAGAGATTATGTTTGTTAATATTTCTTTTTTAAAAGATTTTATTTATTTGAGAGAGAGAGAGAGAGCACCAATGGGGTGAAGGGTAGAGGGAGAAGGAAACTCCCTGCTGAGCGGGGAGCCAGATGCGGGGCTCAATCCTGTGCTGAAGGCAGATGCTTAACCGACTGAGCCACCCAGACACCCTGTTTGTTAATATTTCTAAAGTTATTTGAAATGGAACTATTCCATACCAAGATTGGGCCCATTGAGGCCAGTTATCAGTTAAAAAGCCCAACTCTAAGATTACACGTGTTTTATAAAATCTTCTGTGTATGATGTATTTCACCATTTTAGAAAAGGGGAAAAAAAAATCCAACTCCAGAAATTGGTTGGTAAGGAGACAAATGATATAAACCACAAGTATTTGGAATTTCAATGTTTCATTTTCCATCTTTTTTCTCTTCCATCTCACTTATAACTACTGCTATGCAGCCTTCATTTCTCTTCATACTTTCTGTACCACCAATGGCAAGATTTCATAAAATCATTAAATGTCTGAGATAGAAATACTCCTGGAGATCATGGCCCAGTGCTGTCCATTTTAGAAATGTAATGTGAGCTACATATGTAATTAAAAATTTTTCTAGTACTTACATTGAAAAAGGTAAGAAGAAATAAGTGATATTAATGTCTAGTAATTTATTTAGTCTAACCCAATATATCAGTAATGTTATCTTTTTGGGGCGCCTGGGTGGCTCAGTCGGTTAATCGTCTGCCTACAGTTCAGGTCATGATCTCTGGGTCCTGGGATCAAGCCCCGCACGGGCTCCCTGCTCAGTGGGGAGCCTGCTTCTCCCTCTCCCTCTGCCTGCTGCTCCCCCCTGCTTGTGCGCTCTGTATCTCTCTCTGACAAACGAATAAATAAAAAATCTTTAAAAAATGTTATCCTTTCAACATGTAATCAATATTGAAAATATTAAGATGAGGGTGGGCAGTGCTCTTTTTCTAAAACTAATATGCCTTATATGTTTGGCTTATGCACTTTGCTGTAATTCACTGTGTATTTGGGTGTGATGTGGTTTACTTTTCTACCATATTTGTAATTTTATGTATTCCAACTCCTTTGTGTGAATTCATGTATTATAGCAAAATACAAGGGAAATGGGACTAATTTGCAATATCATATGGGAAATCTTTTAATAAATATATGTAAATAAAATACAAAATATTTGTCCCCATCTTCTCCCCCAGAGCAACGGCAAGACATATTTTGTTAGATATTTAATTTTTAATGTTTTCTATAATTTAAAAATGTATAGCTTCCCATAATTATTATTTTCTTAACCATGATACTACAGTTCTCCTAATTAGTTTTTTTAAAGATTTTTTTTTATTTATTTGACAGAGAGAGAGCACAAGCAGGGGGAGCAGCAAAGGGAGAGGGAGAAGCAGGGTCCCCAGTGACCAGGAAGCCCGACTTGGGGTTTGATCCCAGGACCCTGAGATCATGACCTGAGCCAAAGGCAGATGCTTAACCGACTGAGCCACCCCGTGCCCCAATTTTCCTAATTAGTTTTATCTTAAAATACTGAATGTCCTGACCTTTTATAGATGTTATTAATTTGTTTTAAGTAATTTTAGTCTTTTTTTATGTTCAGTTAGCCAACATATAAATTATGCTTGACATAGAGTTTCCAATAAATTTTCCAGTCAAAAAAATATTTAAAAAAAGACGAAAGAAAATAATAATGAGATCATTTAATGTCTTTTATTTTTACTAAGATTTTGAAACCCGATATGTATTTTGCACTTACAGCATATCTAAATTAGGACTAGCCACATTCCCAGTGATCACATGTGGGTAGTGACTATGGCATTGCCTAGTGCAGCTATAAACCAGCTCCTTTATTTTTTACAAGAGAAAATAAGACCCATTTGTCACACAGTGAATGGATTGCAGAGCCATCACTCAAACCCAACTTCCCAGTGTTCAGGCCAGAAATTCTTTACTGTGCACGCCACGTATGCACAATTCCCTTCTCTTTACGCCCGCGCGCGCGTGCGCGCGCGCACACACACACACACACACACACACACACACACACCCCTATCCCCACTCTTTCTTCCATTTCTGGGCCACCCCAGAGCTTGGAACTCCCTTCGTCCTTTCTCACATTCCTAGATCTTCATGTCATCACCCCTTCTGGGGTCATCTCTTTTCTTCCATTTTTTCCTTTGGGTCCCCTAGGACGACCCGGATGCTTGAGGGAAAAAGGGGTGAGGAGCAATCATATTTCCCTGGAGGGTTGTTTGTTTTGCATTTAACAAAAGGCCAAGTGCTTATTTTGGCAGGTTACCCTATGCTTTATATTTTCAATGCCCGATGCTGTATATTTAATTTCTTTTGCACTAGTTTAGGAGACAGGGAACCTGGGAATGAGTTTCACTTCTGCTGTTAATTGAGGGATCTTGATCAGATTATTTATTTTCTCTAGACTTCAGGTCATGTGTGTGTGTGAGATAAATAACTAGATTAGATACAAATATAAGCCTGCTTCTAGTTCTAAAATCCTCTGCATTTTGTATCCCTCTCTTAGTTTTTGCTCAGACAGTTCATCACCCATTATGGTGACTCACATTTAACTATGTAGCTTTGAATTTCCACCCCCTACCAATCTTGCTGGCAGGCTCAGACTTCTTGCTATCTCTGACATATACTCCTATGCACTGTGTTTTTTTTTAAAGATTTTATTTATTTGAGAGAGAGAGAGAGAGAGAGCATGAGCAGGGGAAAGTGGAGGGACAGAGGGAGAGGGAGAAGTGGACTTCTCAGCAGAGCAAAGAGCCCGACCCGGGCCTTGATCCCAGGACCCTGGGATCATGACCTGAGCCGAAGGCAGAGGCTTAACCGACTGAGCCACCCAGGCGCCCCGCACTGTTTTTTTTAAAGGAATTATTTATTTATTTGCGCGAGAGCATGCAGGGAGGCAGGGCAGAGGGAGAGGGAGAGAGAGAGAGAAACTCCAGCAGACTCCAAGCTGAGCAGGAAGCTGGTCTCAGGGCTTGATCTCATGACTCCGAGATCATGACCTGAGCCCAAACCAAGAGTTGGGCACTTAACCGACTGCATCACCAGGCACTATTTTTTTTAAATAAAAATAAATTATTCAGAAAACATTCTTACTCCCCCTCTTGCCAGGTCTTCTACTTCACTTTCCACCCATATGTAGGAAATGATAGTGAGGGTGGGAAATGGAATTCCTTACTCCCAGATGTCACTCTATTCATCTGGCCCACAGTTGATGATGGTCTGACGCAGAGACAAAGAACTCTTGGATCCTAAAATAGTTCTGCTCTCTCTAAAGAAACTTCTCTGTCTTCTGAACTCTTGAGATATCTGTGGCTGTCACCTCTCTTTTTCTGTTAGGATCAAAGAATCTCTGAAAGACACTCAAGTCCAGAAATGGTGCCTGAGCAAAGGATACAGGAAGAAATGGACTAGGGAAGCCTGGTAATAACCCAAATTGCTCCTACTATGTACCTACAATGTACTGACCATTGTATTAATTACTCCGCATGCGTTATTTCATGTAAGCCTTGCAGTATTGCTGTGAGGGTAGATAGCATTATTATCTTCACTTTATAGAAGACTCCAAGGCTTAGAGAAGTTAAATCACATGTCTGTCTAAGATTACAGAGTTAGAAAGTGGTGAGGCTAGAAGTTGAACCCAAGGAGTTTGACTCCAATATCACTTGAAATAACTATGCTATGCTGCTGGAGGTGTGTGAGTGGTCCATATCTAGGGAATCTGAATGGGGCATGTCCTAAGCTAAAGGCTCTCTACTTGTGGGGCTGAGATGGTTCTGATCCATCCTGGGGCCAACAATATATATTAAGGGCATCCCAGTGCCCTAGAGTCCTGCTCCGTTACAAACGAGCACCTCAAAGCTTGGGCTAGAGCTGCATTGGTTGGTCTCCAAGGCAAAGGGGCAGTGGGTTCTAAATTCCCCCTTTGCCCACAGAAACAGAACCTGGGATAGACAAAAGCAGTCTTAAGAGCTCAAATGAGTCCAGAACAATGGTAGGTTAATTTGAAAAGAGACTCGCAATCTAAAAACAGGAAAATGTGTGTCAGGGAGTAATTAAAGAGGCAGGCCAATCTGGAATGGTTTAGTCCTTTTTGGATGGGTATTGTTATAGATGTTAAATTTATTCTTTGTTTCTTTAGAAATCCATTTATTCACTTATTGCCATCTTTTGGTTGCAATAGTTCGAATGCTCCCAGTCCAGAAGTTGGCAAATGTTTTCTGTAAAGGGCTAGGTAGTACATATTTTAGGCTTTGCAGACCCTATGGTCTCTGTCACAGCTATTCACTGCTTCCATCGAATTATGAAAGCAGCCATAAACAAGATAAGAATAAGTAGGTGTGGCTAAGTTCCAATACCACTTTATTTATGGACACTGAAATTAGAATTTCATGTAATTGTCACATCATGAAATATTATTCTTCTTTTGATTTTTCCAACCATTTAAACGTGTGAAAACAGGGGTGCCTGGGTGGCTCAGTTGGTTAGACATCTGCCTTCAGCTTGGGTCATGATCCCAGGGTCCTGGGATCGAGCCCCACATTGGTCTCCCTGCTTGTTGGGGAGCCTGCTTCTCCCTCTCCCTCTGCCCCCTGCTGCCCCTGCTTGTGCTCTCTCCCTGTCTAAAAAATAAATAAAATCTTAAAAAAATAACGTGAAAACAAAAAACTAAAAACCATTCTTAATTTGTAGGCTGTACAAAATAAACGATGAGCTAGATTTGGCCCATGGGCCTTGATTTGTTGACCCTGGTCTAATGAATGCATGTCTTGAAGGGCTAACTCTCTCTGAAAGTAAGTTAGATACTAGAGGGATTGTACTCATTTAAAATGAAAACAGATAAACACAAAATAGCCAAAATGGTGACACTATTTCCTATCCCTTACCTATTCCTTCCCATATCCAAATTTTACTTGAGTCTTTGCTTGTTTTTTTTTAAATTTTTTATTGTTATGTTGATCACCGTACATTACATCATTAGTTTTTGATGTAGTGTTCCATGATTCATTGTTTGCGTATAACACCCAGTGCTCCATGCAGTACGTGCCCTCTTTAATACCCATCACCAGGCTAACCCATCCTCCCAACCCCCTCCCCTCTAGAACCCTCAGTTTGTTTCTCAGAGTCCATAGTCTCTCATGGTTCGTCTCCCCCTCCGATTTTCCCCCCTTCATTCTTCCCCTCCTGCTATCTTCTTCTACTTCTTTTTAACATATAATATATTATTTGTTTCAGAGGTACAGGTCTGTGATTCAACAGTCTTACACAATTCACAGCACTCACCATAGCACATACCCTCCCCAATGTCTATCACCCAGCCACCCCATCCCCCCCACCCCACACCACTCAAGCAACCCTCAGTTTGTTTTTCAGAGCTCATAGTCTCTCATGGTTTGTCTCCCACTCCGATTTTCCCCCCTTCATTCTTCCCCTCCTGCTATCTTCTTCTACTTCTTCTTCTTTTTTTTTTAACATATATTGTATTATTTGTTTCAGAGGTACTTGTTTTTTATTTCCTCCAGGCTACTTGGTTGGGGCTGAACGTTTTCCTCTTTGTGCATGCCTTCCTGTCATATGAGAAAGCCGATAAATACTACTACACAAGAGAAATCCTGGGGGTGAGTATCACAGTTGTGATATGGAGAATCTCTGTTTGTTGTTGTTGTTTGTGACCTTGGTTCCTTTGAGACCCAATGCCCTGATTTCCTCTAGGGTTAGGGTTCCCGGAAAAAAATACAGGATACCCAGTTGAATTTTTTTAGAGATTTTGTTTATTTATTTGAGAGATAGAGTGATTGAGAGAGAGAGCATGAGCTGGGTGAGGAGCAGAGGGAGAGGGAGAAGCCCATGGAGGAGGGAGCACAAGGGGGGGTGGGGGGGCTTGATCCCGGGACCCCAGGATCATGACCTGAGCTGAAGGCAGACGCTTAAATGACTGAGCCACCCAGGAGCCTCCCCAGTCCCGCTTAAATATGAATTCCAGAAAAATCATTTTTTTGGTATAAGTATATTTTGAATATTGCATGGGACATAGGTATGCTAAAAAAATTACTCACTTTTTAAAATCTGAAGTTCAAATTTAGCTGGGCATCTGGTATTTTTGTTCACTAAATCTGACAGCCCTATCTAGGGCACACTCCCCAGACCCAATGATAAAAACACGCAATAAAGAAAACTATTAAGCAGTCATTTTCAAATGGCTCAAGTACTCCTGTAGGGTGTGAGGGGAAAGCTAACTGGGTAGCACTCCTGCCCCTGCCCCTACTTCAACCAAAGCAGCCTTTACCTGTCTTTTTTTAAGATTTTATTTATTTATTTTTGTGTGAGAGAGAGAGAGAGAGTGTGTGCATGCACGAGTGGGACGGAGGGGCAGAGGGAGAAGCAGGCTCCCTGCTCAGCAGGGAGCCTGACATGGGACTCGATCCCAGGACCCTGAGATCATGACCTGAGCCGAAGGCAGACGCTTAACCTACTGAGCCACCCAGGTGCCCCTCAGCCTTTATCGGTCTTATGGACTCCTGCTTATGATTTCCAGAAAGAGTTTGGTTTATAACAAGTAAACAAACAACTTGAAAGCCACTGCTGTGGACTGATCTCACAGAAGAACACCTCTCCATCAAACAAGAGGGATACTTAGAGGGTCTGTGGGGTGAGTGGTGCAGCAGAACTCAAGGCCTGAAGAAAGGCAGGGGTCGGGTGAGAATAATAGGATGGAGAAGGCTGTGGAAGCGGTAGGTAAAGAACAGAAGAGGGAGGGTGGGGGCCAGATAGGGTACGTCAATGTGGAGGTGACCAGAGTTAGAAGCATGGAGGTGAGAATGATTCTCTCACAGGCTCATCAGTCTGGCCACTATCTGATTAGAAAAGCAAATCTAACTGCTAACTCTAGTGAGTTTTTCAGTAGCAGGGAAGGGATTTGGTTAAATCACTTTCATCTTGATTAGATCATTGGCTTTCCACAAAGACCCATCCGATGTACATGTTTAAAGACAGCTTGTCCTTTTAAAAAAATCCTTCTTTTCTCTCTATAATCAAAGGATCCATGTTGAGATCACAACCAATTTGAATGTTCTGTTCATGGCTTATTTCACCCTGCTGTTATCCATTTTAAATGTTGGTCCTTGATCCTTCTTTGGAAACTCTAAACTCCAAAGGAAGTGTTAATTTATTTTAAAAACAGCTTTTTGGTAAGAGAATGATGCAATAAATGTGACTAGTTATTAAGAGCTTTAATTGCTTTATGACCAGAAAGTCAGCAGCAGAAAAATGAATCATGCTGTTATCTTGTGGACATGTCATTCACTTTGTTTTTTAAAAACACTTAATGATAAATAATGCTACTTTCCGTGATAGCAAATGATACAGAAGTGTATAAGTAAAAATGTGAAAATTGCCCTCCCACCCATTCCCCAGAGATAACCACTGTTAATAGTTTGTGTGTGTGTTTGTGTGGATGCACTGACTTAAGCTCACGAATGCATCAGACATACAGGTTTTGTTTTTGAGGTAGGTACTATTCTTACTTTTTAATTTCCTGTATACAGTAAAATTCGCTCTTTTTTTCTGGTGTATGCACCATTCTATGAATTTGGATAAACACATAAAGTAGCAAAGAGTTTTTCTTTTTGCTGTTGTTTTGTTTTGTTTGGGGTTTTTTTTTGAGTTTTGTTTTGTTTTGTTTTCACCAAAAAAGGATCACATCGTAGATACTGGCTGGAAATTGCTTCTTACACTTAATGTATTTCAGATAGCTTTCCATGTGAGTACGTAACTAGTGATGTGCTGGAACCAGCTCATATCAGCTTGCAATAGCCACTTATGCGCATCTCTTCCCAGCCCTATATTCAGGGGTGTTCAATGACATCAAATTGGTATCTTGAAATCTGCCACGGCGGGGGTATTGACGTCATGTAAATTGGCAAAGGCTGGAAACCAATCTCCCCTCTTCCCCTGAAAGCTGGTTCTTAAACGTTTACCACTCCTACTCCCCTGCGTATAGCTCTCATCCTTTTAAGAAACTAACCGTCCATGGCATTGATGTGCCATAATTTATTTAATCATTCTGTAGTTATTTCTTGAATTTGTGCTTCCTCTAAGAAAATACGGAGAGTTATTTGATTCACTATGAAGCAGAGCGAATAAGTAAAGGAATAAGCAGTTTGTGAGACATTAATGATAAAAGCAGTTGAATTTGAACATCAGGTGGTGTTGATATCGAAAAGTGCATGTAAATTGGGATATTTTGGTGTGCTGCAATGGGGGGAGAAAAGAGTCCCTCTAAAAAGAATTGATCTCATACAGATAGCCCCTCCAGAATATGGAACTATGAAAGTGTAGTCCTGTATTTTCCACTCACTTGCCAATTTTAGCTTTAAGAAACCTCTGTGTCTCAAATAAGCATTCCAGTTGTTTATTTGCTTTCCAGTGTGGAAAGGCAGGATCTTTGAGATGAGCAGAGAAAATTTACTCAGATATGGAACAGGATGTCTCTCTGAAAAACAGTTGGAGTGTGACTCAGCAGAGGGAGAAAACACAGGTCATATGGAAGAGCCAGCAATGGAAAACAGTAGGGCAGCTCCTGTTCCCTGTGCTGCCGAACACAGGAAGCCATTACGGATGTTAGGTGGATCTTGACTTGGCTTGATGTCACATTGCCCTGGGTTTAGGTGTCGCATGAAAAAGAGTTTTTGTGCTGAAAAGATTATTAGAAAAATTTAGGGGGGAAAAAAAGACAAAAAAGAGAGAGTTAGGGAAAAAAAAAAAGGAGAAATCGTTAACTCTAACCCATATTCTTCCTTTCGGTGAGTCGCTGATGGGCACACATGTGAGACTGGCCAGTCAGCTAATGTGCGACATGAATTGCCTGGTTGCTGTCACCACTTCCGCGGCTGTTGTGACACTGGCACATTCCATAGCTTGCAGTCCTGAGTACAGGGAGCTGACTCAGAGGCCAGTTGCACAGAGTCGAGGAGAGAAGTTGGACTTGACTACCATGGAGTTGAGTGTGGTCTGTCCAGCCTATACCTCATCAAGCCCGTTTGGGGGCTAAATACTTCCTTGAAGCGCCGATTCCTTGTCTCCTTTTCTGGCAACTTCTGCTGCTGGATCAGACTGATCTTGGTGTATGCTGCCTGGCCACCCAAGGAAATCAGTTTGAAATTCTGTTCTCAGAAGCTCTTCTTTCTCAAATCTTTGCCCAAGTTTAAAATGTTTGCTCTGAGGGGTTCACTAGTTTTGCCTAAGCTGTATTCAATCATTAAAGGCATCTTAAATATAAATGGTTAATTTTTTTTATTGTCTGTTTGCGTGGTTATTACATGCTTATAATTGCAACGTTAGAAAATACAGGAAAGAGAAAGTCACCATCTGTAATTACACTTTAAATATATAAGCTTTATTTAAAATGCAAATAAAAACATATATAATCTTCAAGATTGTTTTACAAATGACAAACAATAAAATAATAATTGAGTGTATTTTTTTAAGATTTTATTTATTTGTTTGTGAGAGAGAGAGCGAGAGGGAGCATGAGCAGGGACAGGGGCAGAGGCAGAGGGAAAAGCAGGCTCCCCGCTGAGCAGGGAGCCCGATGTGGGGCTCCATCCCAGGACCCTGAGATCATGACCTGAGCCGAAGGCAGACACTTCACCAACTGAGCCACCCAGGTGCCCCAATAATTGAGTGTATTAGGCGAAAATACTCATTGCAAAGTATTACATCGATAGAATGTATCTGTTAATGTGAAATTATTGAATCCTGTTCTCTTTCAAATTGTTAGATGTGTAGTCAAATATTTCCAAGCCACTTGTCATGAGAATTTCTCAATTCACTGGTAAGTTCAGCAAATGTTCTGTCATTTTGCGGAGAGCCTGGACCTAGTGTGCTGGCTACTGAGGAAGGGGTGAGGAAGATGCCGCCCTGCCCTTTTCCAGGTCTCAGACAAGTGGACTGGGCTGTGCTCACCTCCTAGATGATACGATGAAGCAGCTGATGGTCTCTTCTCTCTTCTGCTCTAGTCGGCATTGGCCTGGGCCCGAGCCTCTGCTCGCTGCCTGAATTTTAACAGCATGCTGATCTTGCTTCCTGTGTGTCGAAATCTGCTGTCCTTCCTGAGGGGCACCTGCTCAGTGAGTCCCAACCACTCCTAGGTCAACTTTCACATTAAAGATAAGAGACCCTGAACTCCTCAGTGGGACAGCCCAATACCTTCAAACCCCTAGGAATGGAAGCCAGGGATCTCCTTTGGTAGCCAAGGGGATAGGCAAGTATTGGTGTGGGGGGTGGGTATTGGTATGCTTTGTTTAAGACATGTTGCTTATGGGTTGCTGAATTTTATAAACTGCCCGGAGACACCGGACCTTGATCACTTTCCATCTGTAGTTCTGCAGGCGCACCCTGAGAAAGCAACTGGATCACAACCTCACCTTCCACAAGCTGGTAGCATATATGATCTGCCTACACACAGGTAACCGAGGCAAACCACAAAACTGCAAGCTCATGAGCATTCAGAATATAGTTTCATTCATCTCTGCATTTAGACATTCAAAAAGTATTTATCGAACACCTGGCACTATTTGCCAGGCACTGTTGTAGGCCTATTTTCTTTCTTTCTTTTTTTTTTTTTTAAAGATTTTATTTATTTATTTGACAGAGAGTGAGAGAGCACAAACAGGGGGAGCAGGCTGAGCAAGGAGCCTGATGCGGGGCTTGATCCCAGGACCGGAGCCGAAGGCAGACCCTTAACTGACTGAGCTACCCGGCCACCCCTGTAGGCCTATTTTCATGGAACTTATATTCGATTCATTTGGGAACAGAATGAGAATACAAAAAATCTTGGTTCTCTCTGCAATCAAGATTTATCAGGCACCTTCCATGGACTGAGCATTCTGCTAGACACTATCCATCGGATTCTCCTTTGCTAGTGGGGCATGCCTGCAGTGAGGTTTCTGAGACACCTTTCAATTCCCTGTTGTCTTTCTTTTTTTGTTGTTGATATAACTATATTTTATTTATTTTTATTTTTAATTTAATTTAATTTTATTATGTTATGTTAGTCACCTACAGTACATCATTAGTTTTTGATGTAGTGATCCATGATTCATTGTTTGTGTATAACACCCAATGCTCCATTCAATACGTGCCCCATCATCTTTCCATTTAGCTATTCACATCATTGCACATCTGTTCAACTTTGAACACTACAGCAGAAGCCGACAGGCCACAGATGGATCCCTTGCCTCTATTCTCTCCACCCTATCTCATCAAGAGAAAGGGGAAGGTTCTTGGCTAAATCCTATCCAGTCCCCAAACATGGTGAGTTGACTCAATGGCAAAGCATCGGCCATCTGGTCACGAGTATGGAAGGGCATGGTATGTTTGGCACCCATTATGTCAGGCTGAAATTTCTCCTTTTGTAGACAGTGGAGTATGTGACATTTACCAGCATTGCTGGTCTCACTGGAGTGATCATCACAATAGCTCTGGTTCTCATGGTGACTTCAGCTATGGAGTTCATCCGGAGGAGTTATTTTGAGGTCTTCTGGTACACACACCATATTTTTATCATCTACTTCATTGGTTTAGGGATTCACGGCACTGGGTAAGGTCCTCAAACCCTCATTCTCATGCCCCAGCCCCTGACCTTGCATAATCCTTTGCCTCCAATTGTCCTTCTTTGTCTGTCTCAGTGGAATTGTCCGGGGTCAAACAGAAGAGAGCCTGAATGAGAGTCATCCTCACAGGTGTGCAGAATCTTTCAAGCACTGGGATGATCATGACTCCCACTGCAAACATCCCCGATTTGAAGGGCTCCCCGCTGAGGTAAGAACCCCAGAGACAAGGATAGACTCTAGTTAGGAGCTGTTATTGCTATTGTTTTTATTATTACTCTTATTATTGTTCCTGTTACTAGTTCAGCGCTGTGCTGAATACAATGGAGGATATATTCACAAGGCTCCTTCCAGCAAGGAACTCCATTATCCCTGGCAATAGGCCAGGGAATTACCATTAGCAGGGGATCCTGAAGAGGAAGGACTAATGGTTATTGCATGTTGTGAGACCCTATCTAAAAGTAATAATGATACCTCACATTATTAATAGTGTTTACCATGGGACAGGTTTCCTATGTAATATGGATTATCTCATTTATACATAGCAATAATCGATGAGGTAGGTATTTTTCGGTCTCCATTGTGAGACAATAGGACTAGGATTCAAAGAAATTCAACTGTCAGGCTCTCACAGTAAGTAACTAGTGGAACTGGAATTCAAGCCCAGGCTTTTCAGATTCCAAAGACTGAGCTCTTAACAACTGAAATCCAGTCAATTTTCTTGGGGGGAAGAAAAGCATTCTTTTCCCCCCAGCTTTATTGAAGTACAATTGACAAATAAAATTGTGTATATTTGAAGCATACAATGTGGTGAGTGACACATGCATACTTTGTGAAATGATCACCATAATGAGATTAATTAACACATCCATCACCTCACAGTTACCATTTTGTGTGTGTGGGGTGAGAATGCTTAAGATCTACTCTTTGAGCAAATTTCAAGTATGCTATACAGTATTATCAACTGTAGTCACCATGCTTTACATTAGATCCGGAGAGCTTATTCATCTTATGAATGAAGTCACATATCCTTTGACCAGCATTTTTCCATCACTTCCCCACCTCCCATCCCAGACCCTGGTTACCCACCTTCCTAGTCTCTGTTTCTATGAGTTCAACTTTTTTTTTTTCAAGCATTCTCAAAGTCAGTTTTCTTTTGTGTTATAAGAACATGCTTGGAAATTATTATTAAATAGTGGACAACCAAGAAACTGGGTTCCAGGGAACTCAAGTTGTGCCTTGGGATAATTATTGTGGATATCATGGTTTACTTTTACATGCTCATAAAATATGTTAGATAGAGGAATAAATGGAAGGGAAAGGTTGACTTGTGGTATCTCAGAGTGCTCTGGGGGTGATTAAAGTCTTTAAATCAGTTGCAGAATTAAGAGCAGTGTCTTGATCCTCATAAAAAATGGGAATAATATCTTTTAAAAATCCCCTAAAGTTGGCATTTCAAATCAGTTAAGAAAATATATATATCATTCAACAATTTTTTAGGACAATAGGTTGTCCATCCAGGAAGAAAAGCTGAATCTTGATTCCACACTTTACACTAAATATGAATCAGGAATGCATGGATCAAGGATTTAAATGTTAAAGAAAGGAAAATCATAAAAGCATCCTAAGATCATCTGGGAAATTTTTTTCTAATACCGGAGGATTAGCAAAAAGTTCCCTCAATAAGATTTAAAAAGACCTTGAAGTCAGAAAATAAAATAAAATAAATTTGAAAAAATGTATATTAAAATGTATTCTATGTAAATTTTTAAGTTTTTATTTAAATTCTAGTTATTTAACGTACAGTGTAATATTAGTTTCAAGTGTACAATTTAGTGATTCAACACTTCCATACAACACCTGGTGCTCATCACAAGTGCACTCCTTGATCCCCATTGTCCATTTCACCCATCCCCCCATCCACCTCCCCTTTGGTAACCATCAGTTTGTTCTTATAGTTAAGAGTCTGTTTCTTGGTTTACCTCTCTCTCTCTTTTCGCTATGCTCATTTGCTTTGTTTCTTAAATTGTACATGTGAGTGAAATCATATGGTATTTGTCTTTCTGTGACTGACTTATTTCGCTTAGCATAATGCTCTCTAGCTCCATCCACGTCGTTGCAAATGGCAAGATTTCATTCTTTTTTATGGCTGACTAATATTCATATATATATATATACCACTTCTTCTTTAGCCATTCATCAGTTGATGGGCATCTGGGCTCTTTCCATAATTTGGCTATTGTGGATGATGCTGTTATAAACATCAGGGTGCACATATCCCTTTGAATTAGTATTTCTGTATCCTTTGGGTAAATACCTAATAGTGCAATTGCTGGATCATAAGGTAGTTCTATTTTTAACTTTTTGAGGAAACTCCATACTGTTTTCCAGAGTGGCTGCACCAATTTGCATTCCCACCAACAGTGCAAGAGGGATCCATCCCTTTTCTCTGCATCCTTGCCAACATCTATTGTTTCCTGCGTTGTTAATTTTGGCCATTCTAACTGGTCTAAGGTGATGTCTCATTGTAGTTTTGATTTGCATTTCTCTGATGATGAGTGATGTTGAGCAACTTTTCATGTGTCTGTTGGCCATCTATGTGTCTTTGGAAAAATGTCTATTCTGTCTTCTGCCCATTTTTTAACTGCACTATTTGGTTTTTGGGTGTTGAGTTTGATGAGTTCTTAATATACTTTGGATACTAACCCTTCATCAGACATGTCATTAGCAAATACTTTCTCCCATTCTGGAGGCTGCCTTTTAGTTTTGATGATTGTTTCCTTTGCTGTGCAGAAGCTTTTTATTTTGATGTAGTCCTAATAGTTTATTTTTACTTTTATTTCCCTTACCTCAGAAGACATATCTAGAGAAATGTTGCTATAGCCGAAGTCAGAGAAATTACTGCCTATGGTCTATTCTAGGATTTGTATGGTTTCATTTAGGTCTTTTATCCATTTTTGAGTTTATTTCATGGATGGTATAAGAAAGTGGTCCAGGGGCGCCTGGGTGGCTCAGTTGGTTAAGCGACTGCCTTCGGCTCAGGTCATGATCCTGGAGTCCCGGGATCGAGTCCCACATCGGG